CCCGTGATCCCGCAGCCAGACCAGCTCACTGTTTTTGTTGTTCTTGGTGGTGACCGTTCCCAGGCAGGAATTTCACCAGCTGTAATCGCAAACAATGAGCTGCGACTGGTTCTCTGCTGAGCAGGTAAGGCTTCTGAAGTCAACACGAGATGCTCTAACACAAGATGCTTCCACTATACACCCTCATGGCCGTCATGAAACAAGGACTTCCAGAGACAAGGGGAGGCTGACATGGAGAGGCTGGTTGGAGGGCATGCAGAGGGAGAGGGTTCTGGAAACAGGGTACGGAGAGTGGATGGCCCTAATGGAGTGGAAGGAGAGACTTCGGAGAGGGAGAGAGGAACTCAAACTGTGCTCATCTGTTTGTTCATTCATTCACTTATCCGGTGCCCAATATACTGGGGCTGTGTGAGGCCCTGCTGTTGTGCCCACTGTCTAGCTGGGAAGACCCACCAGTAAAAGGTCAACTGCAAAGCCACAGGATCAGTGGGGAGAGAGTCAACCTCTGGGCAAGGGAGAGCAGCTCGCCCAGCCCCCAGGGAGGGCAGGCCAGGGAGGGGAGGAAGGCTGGGAGCTTCCTAGGAAAGGGAGGAGACTGAGCCAGCCCCCCTCCACCCCCCCCCACCCCACCCTGGGGCAAAGGAAGAGGTAGGGAGAGCAGGGGGAGGGGAGCCTGGCAGAAGTGTTTATCTGCAGGGCTGGAGGAGGGCTGTCACCCAGCCTCTCACAGGAAATCTCCCAGACAGGGGTAAGCAGGGCCTGGCGGATGGGGCTCAGCACAGCCGCCCCAAGGGCTGGGAAAGCCCTAATTTACTCCAGGCCGGGTTGCCTCCGGCCAAGCTCACTCTGGCCAAGCTCACTCTGGCCTTAGTTTCCCCACTGCCCCTGGAGAGAAGGAAGGCAAAGACTTTGAGCCCTAGGGATGAAAGGCTCAGCCCCAGCGCAGACCACCACTCCCTGTAAAACAGGGCGGGTGACGCCGCTGCTCTTTTTGGCTGGTGAGTAGCCTGATCTCCTTTGAAGATGAAACATTCTCTGGCCTAATGAGGAGTCAGTTGGCCAAGGTGGGAGCAGGGTTGGGCTGTGGGAGCCCGGCACCTGCCCCACCTGGCCCCGCCTGGTTACCACCTGCCCAGGGGGACAGAACGCTTCCCACTGCTCTGCAGACCCCCATGCCTGCACCAGCCCCTCCTTCTCCCCTTCTCCGGGCCAGTGCCCTTGCCCTCCTCTGCTCCTGGCTACCTCCCTGTCAGGCCAGAACCAATCCTAGATGGGTGGGAGAGGCAGCAAAGGCCTTGGCCTCATGTGCCTCCTTCACTGCCCTGGTTGGGGGCCCCCATTCTCGGCTTCTGGGACACCCTGTCAAGCTACCCTGAACCCTCCATGTTTCCAGGCCACAGAGGTCACTTCCAATATGGTAGCTGACCAGGGGGACACAGCTTCCTTTACATGCATGAGAACAGTGCTCAGAATAAAGGATACCCTCAGACCACTTAACTCCTCTTATTCCCTGGATGTGGAACAGACATTTGCTACCAGATGGGCTCCTAAAAGCAAGGAGCCAAGTGGAGGTCTGCGGCCTAGTGGTCACAGCTCTGCTGGGTGTGGTCACAGGAGTAGCCTCCAAAGTGTTTTAAAGTGCACAATCTTCACTGGGCAGATCAGCTACAAGCCTTGTTCCCTTCTTTCTCTCCTTTTTCCTCCCCTCAGTCCAGCCTGGGGCTTGCCCACTGCGTCCTGCTCAGAGAGACCCTTCCCGCCCATGGACCGACCCCACCTCCTTTCTAGAGGCCCTGGAACATCCAAACACAGCCTCCGCACCAGCTCATTTCTCAGGAAATCGTTGGGAGACAAGAATGGGTTCACGCACATGGCTTGGGCTCTCCTGGGAGGCAGGCGGCTGTCTCGTAAATGCACTAATATTAGGCACAACTCAAAGATAACCTTACCTACACTTTTCAAAAGAGGCACATACACCTGGGATTATCATATCTTCTTAATGGTTCATTTGTGTTCATTAAGTAAATTAATTCATTTATCTGATTTGCAGAGCAATGCCCAAAGGGTGGACTTCTAGATCGTCAACATCCAACCTCCAAGTGAGCTTTTGGAATAACTACTTTCCTAAATTAGAAAGATCTCTATCTCCATTCCTCATCCTCGAGGCCCCAGGGAGAGGGGAGCCCACTGAGATCCACACCTCTCCCCCTGCCCTCACCTCCCAGAGCCAAGCTTGGGGCTCCCACTTTGAAGCCCCTACATCCCACACCATTGCCCCTGCTTGACCTTCACCCCCAGGGTCTACAGTCTTCCCCATTCCAAACCACAAGACCTGCAGGCTCGGGGGTACCTCTTTGTCCCTGACTCCCGCCAGAGCTGGGCTTACAGGAGAGATGGGCAATGTCTGGAAAGTCAGTTAAGAGGGCTGGAGGACGGGCGCCTGGGTGGCTCTGTCAGTTAAGTGGCTGACTTCAGCTCAGGTCAAGATCGCAGGGTTCTGGGATCAAATCCCAGCCCCATGTTGGGATCCCTGCTCAGAGGGAACCTGCTTCTCCCTCTCCCTCTGCTCCTCCCCTCTGCCCCCGCTTGTGCTCTCTCTCTCTCAAGTAAATAAATAAACTTTAAAAAAAAAAAAAAAAAAAAAAAGGAACAACTGGGGGGAAAGGCCAAGGGCTCAGTCTCAGCGGCAACCACGAGGAACAGGGAGAAGGTACCCAGCTCCACTTCCCTCAGCATTTACCTCCTGCATCTCTCTAAATTGTGCTGTGTGGCTCACAGAGCACCCCACGTTAACACATCCCTAATAGACCATAAAGGATGCAGCACGACCCCGGAGCAGGGCCAGGGGACTGTGTGCGCCCAAGCACACAGCGCCCCACTATGCCTCCATGAAGGGCACTAATTACAGGCCCTGCAGGGACGGTGAGCACCTCCTCTCACCAGAGGGAGGCAGCTTGCTGGAATTTTAAGGCCCTGGGGTTTTAGGAGGACTGGCAGCATGAAGGCCCTGCAGGCCGGGCAGCGTGGCCGGCCCTGCCTTCCCGCGAGCCTGGCCAATGTGGGCAGGCACTGGGTGCTCACCTTGTGGTCTAGCTCAGCACTGGCCTTTGGCTGTTGCTCCTGGCCGGGTGGCAAGGTCACAGAGCCCAGATGCTGCCTGAGGGATGATGGCCTCATGAGACTCAGGAGCTGGCTGAGCAAAAACAGCTGGGAAGGAGAAGAGATGCTGTCATACAGGGGTGGTTGGGACACTGGGGGACCTGGCCAGCACCAGTAAGTCAGAGCATGGGCTCTGGAGCCAGACCACCAGCTTCCATGGCCTGGATCCCTCCTCACCGGTATGTCGTGTGGCCTCTTGGAGCCTTAGGGTCCTATCTGCAAAATGGAGACAACAGCACACCCACTTCCCAGGACAGGAGAGTCACGCGTGCACATGGGGCCTGGCACAGGCTAAGCCTTCCTTTAAAGGAGTGAACCAAGAAGATCTCTGTAGGCTGGGGATTTGATCCACTTCCCTGGAGGGAGCCCACAGGCCTGGAAGAATCAAGGCCCCCAGAGAGGGCCAGACCCTTCCTACCCCGAGCTATTGCTTGAGTCCCTCACTCCCCTGAAGTTGCTGTGGGCTTGGAGAGACATACAGAGGAGCAGAGGCTCTGAACCACCAGCCCCCTCTCCTGCCGGCTGTGCTTGCTCCCCATCACTCTGTCTGCCCCCATTTCTCCGCCCCCGCCCTTTTCCTTTCAGGGGATTTTAAAGGAAATCCAAACACTGTATCATTTTACCCATAAAGAGCTTTTCACGGAAAGGGATAAGGATTTCTTTCCCCAGCATGGTCACAGTATCATTCTCCTGCCCAGCAAAATTACCAAGAACTCCTTATATGCTCTAACACCACGTTCAGGTTTCTCTGATTGTTTCAAAAGTGTCTTTACCTGTTGTGTTGTTGGAATGGGGATTGCCCACCAGGGCCGCACACTGCATGCGGTTGTTCCTTGATCTGCTAGCTGTCCCGCCCCCAACCCCCATGTAAACCGCTGACCTTCTCTGAACAAATGGGAGTACCCCCACCCCTCCCAGGAACAGGGCCCAAGGGAGTCCCGCTGTCTGCAGGAAGCCACTCCTGGCCTGGCCCCTGCACCTGGTTTGAGCAGCCTGGGTTCAGCCCCAACAAGGACCCTTCAGCTGCCCTGGAACTAATTTGTGGTCAGGCCAGAGGCAGGCAGTATGTGGGCCCTTGGCGCCTCTGGGCCCACCTGCCACCCTGGGAGAGTGGGGGATGCAGATGGAAGGAGCAGAGACATCGGAGTTGGAGTTCACAGACACACCATCTTTTTAGATGTAACAGGTGTAGGCTGGCCCAAAGGGCTTAGGCCCAACCCCCGAGCCCAGCTCCCTGCTAGAGCCCAGCCTTGCCTGGCACACCTGGCTTCCTCTCCCTGACTCACCCGGAGACACCTGCTCAGCATCTCAGCCGGCCACAGACTTAGCCCACAAGAGCAGCTGGGCTGAGGGCTAGGAGACAGGCCTAGGGCCTCGGCTCCTGGAAGGGCGCCAGGGCTTCTTGGCCTCGTGTCCGATCCCTTTAGGAAGGGAGAGGAGGAGGCAGGGAAAGAGAGAAGGTTCCAGGCGAAGAGAGGCACCATCTGGAGCTTCCCCCAGACCAGAGCTGTGCCATCTCGCTCAGGCCTTGCAACGCTGGGGATGGTTTCCAAAAGGGCCCTGCCTGCTTGGGGATCCCAGCTGTGCAGCCCACGCCCCCAGAAGCTGTCCTCAGGCAGGCAGCCTCGCCCCAGTTAGACCCTCCCTGCTACGGGAGCCCTGGGCGGGGCCACAACAGCAGCTCGGCGGGCTCTGCTAGCTCCCCTGTTTTTCCTCTCCATGAAAACAGCTTCAGCGGGCCGGCACAAGCTGCCGCGTTGACTGCTCACTCTCCTCTGTTTCCAGTTCTGGCAGCCACGCCCCTCCCCCCCACCCCACCGGACCAGGGCTTATTTGGGCTGTGTGCATCCCAGCAGGGAGGGCCAGGGCCTGACATCGCACCTCCCCACCTCACCCCCACCGCTGGGAGCTGTCTCTGCAAACACTCAGCCCATTAGGACAGACACCTCCAGGCAAGAGGCAAAGGATCACCCAAGGAGGCAGGCCTCCGCCGGTCCTGTCTGCCCTGCAGGCAGGAGAGGGCCCGCGCGTTCCAGCCAGGCAGCGGGCCACAGGGCTGGTCACTCCTGTGCTCAGGCCCCAGTAGTGCTTCTATCTGCCTAGTGGAGAAGGGCAGGATCTTCTTCTTTTTTTTTTTAAAGATTTTTTTTCTGTCAGAGAGCGCTAATGTGCAAGCAGGGAGCAAGCAGAGGGAGGAGGAGGCTCCTTGCTGAGCCAGGAGCCCAATTTGGGACTCGCACCCAGGAACCTAAGATCACAACCGGAGCTGAAGGCAGATGCCTAACCAACTGAGCTACCCAGGTGTCCCAGAAGGCCAGCATCTTAAGTGTCTGTGAGGCTCAGGCAGCCCCATTGTCCCCTGGAGCCCACACCCCGACCGGGCCTTCTGACCAGAGGCACGTAGCTGCCCCTGTCCACACCCCAGCCCCAGGCCCCCAGGTCTACACTGCTGCCCACGCCACCCACACCAGCTAACCCCCTCGCCCCCAGTGACTTCTGTGTCCACCACATTTACCACTTCCTTAGGCGTTCTGTAATTTACTTGTTTACTTTGTTTCTTACTGTCCCCATTCCCTCACTAGAACGTAAGGCCCAAGAGGGCAGTTTTGTTCCCCTGCAGTCCTGAGGGGTCAAACCCAGCCCCCCGCACATGGTGTATGTTTCATAAGCCTTCGTTCCATGAATGAATGCAGGGCAGGGCAAGACTGCCTCTCCCTAGGAGATGCACACCCTCATCCTCCTGCATTTTGGCCGTTTAAAGCCCATGTCTTCCCGACTCCAAACTGGAAGCCATGGCTTGACAAAGGAGGTTTGCTATGTTGCAAGAGGTGACCTGGGATAAGCAGCAAACTCTCAGCTGGTCTTCAAACCTGATCCACCTGTGTCCTGCTGATCTTGGTAAAGGGCTTCTCCATCCTGCCAAGCTGCATAGGTCCTAGAGCCCTCCTGGTCTCCCTCCTCTCACATCTCCTGTTCCACTGGCTGCTTGGGAAACACACCTAGAGTCCGACCACTTCTCACCACCTTCTCCGATATCTCCCCAGGCCAAACAATTGTCATCTCTTATCAGAATTATTGCAATCGCCTAAGCTCAACATAGTCGCCAGAGTAATTTAAAAACACTCTATAAATTAGGGGCACCTCGGTGGCTCAGTTGATTAAGCATCTGCCTGCGGCCCAGGTCATGATCACAGGGTCCTGGGGTGGAGTCGTGCATCGGCGCCCTCCTCGGTAGGGAGCCTGGCTCTCCGTCCCCCTCTGCCTGCTTGTACTCCCTTTCTCTCTCTCTGTCAAATAAACAAATAATTTTTTTTTTAAATTCATTTGACAGAGATCACAAGTAGGCAGAGAGACAGGCAGAGAGAGAGAAGGAAGCAGGCTCCCTGCTGAGCAGAAGCCTGACGCGGGGCTTGATCCCAGGACCCTGAAATCATGACCTGAGCCGAAGGCAGAGGCTTTAACCCATTGAGCCACCCAGGCGCCCCTAAAATTTTTTTTAAGATTATTTTTTTTAATTTTTTTTTTAAAGATTTTATTTATTTATTTGACAGAGAGAGATCACAAGTAGACGGAGAGGCAGGCAGAGAGAGAGAGAGAGAGAGAGAGAGAAGCAGGCTCCCCGCTGAGCAGAGAGCCCGACGCGGGACTCGATCCCAGGACCCTGAGATCATGACCTGAGCCGAAGGCAGAGGCTTAACCCACTGAGCCACCCAGGCGCCCTTTTTTAAGATTATTTGACAGAGAGAGAGAGACAGCGAGAGAGGTGACACAAGCAGGGGGGGTGGGAGAGGGAGAAGCAGGGAGCCCTGGGCCTCAATCCCAGGACCCTGGGATCATGACCTGAGCCAAAGGCAGACGCTTAATGACTGAGCCACCCAGGCACCCCAAATAAATAAAATCTTTTTAAAAAAATTCTATAAATTAGATTCTGTTTCTCTTATCAAAACCTTCCAGTGGCTCTCCACTTTGGCATGAACACAAAGCCGCTATCACGGCCCGGAGATGCTGGTGGATTGAGTCCCCACTTACTTGTCTGACCTCAACTTCTACTACTCCATCCTCAGTCTTCTGCTCCAGCCACAGTAGCTTCTGCTTTTCCTCCAACCTAAGAGAACTCTATCTGCCCCAGGGCCTTTGTACTTGCTATTCTCCTGAGAAACCTGCCTGACTTTTTTAGTTCTGTGCACAAATGTCCCCATCTCCCCACATTCCCTCTCCTCTTTATCTGGCTTTATTTTGCTCCAGAGCCCTTATCATCATCTGGTATGGCAAACATTTACTTTTTTCTTGGCTCCTGTGTCTGTCCGTCTGCCCCTAGACTGAATTTCACAAGGGAGGGACTAATTTCTGTTCAGGACTGTATCTTCAGTGCTCTGAGGAGGGTCTAGAGCACACTGGTGCATGAAGCTAAAACCCTGCTGTTTCTGGGAGATTTCCAGGATTCCCAAGGACAACAGCAAGCAGCCTGACCCAAGGCTCTCCTGGAAAATGCGGGCCTTGTGGGGAGGAGCTTGCATCCTGACCACCTACAGAAGTCTCATTCTTTAAATTCTAGTTCTTTAGCTCTTGCTGCTAGGGCCTCTGACTGCAGCCTGAAGCAGAGAGCTAAGCCATCCAAGGGTCAGGGACTCTTCCTGCCCAGCGGTGTCCTGAGAGGCCTCTGCCCAGGCACTCACCCCAGAACCTCTCCTAGACGAGTCAATTCTCAATCCCTGGGGTCCCCTTCATAGTCAATCGATTGATAAGGTTTATCAAGTATTTACACATCAATGAAGGAAGTAGAAACCTTAGCCCTTGTCCTTCTAGCCGCCACTTTGGAATAAAGCTCAAGGGACTAAGAGGGCACCTTCAGCAGGAAGTGGCCGGCATGGTCTGGGCTCACCACAGTGAGAGCAGAGGAAGGGGCTGAAGGAGCAGAGATGCCATGTTGCACGGGTCAAGGGCAAGGACCCTGCAGTTGAATCCTAGCTCCACGGCTTTCCTGCCATATGACCCTGAGAAGTTTCCTAACAGTGCCTGCCTCAGTTTCCCCATCTGTGAAAAATGTCTGATGGTAACAGTCCTCACTGCTGGGGACTGCTAGGAGAGGTAAGCTCTGAGAACAGCCCCGGCACACAGCGCATGCTAGGCAGTGTTAGCTCCCACCATTTCGGTTGGGATGTGATACAGACAGGGAGGTCAAGGCACAGAACTGTGTGCAGGGAGAGCAGGGCTGGCCCACAACGAGGACTGGGAAGAACAGGTGGCGTGTGCAGGGCAGGCCGCATAGAGAAGCTGGGAGAGGGGGCGTTGTGGGCTTTGATGTGGGTGGCTATTGGGGCCACAGTGGTGGCCCTCAGAAGGCGAACATCCATCTGACAGGCCAGACTGGAAAGGGGACTGCCTACAGCCCGGAGACCTGGGAGGTGCTGGCAGCAGCCCCAAGCCCGCAGTGGAGATGGGGGAAGCACACAGGGAGGGCCGCAGGCAGGCCCCGGCTGGTCCTTCCTCTCCCCGAGCCCCAGGAGGCTGGCGCAGCCATGCACGGCGCGTACCAGCCCCCAGCAGACTCTCCTCTGGGCAACACAGGCACTGACTCAGCCTCCTAGACCTGGCTCAGGACACCTTCTCTGGAAGCCACTTCACTGCCCTTGGGCAGCGTTAGTCACTGCACCCTCAGCCCACCTTGCTCACACCCTGTCTTCGGAGGGCCGGGTCCTGGATGCAAAGCCTGGCATGGAGCCGGGCACACAGGCGATGCTTAGCTGGGCTCTCCTGAATAGATGGGCGCGGTGGGCATGCGGGTGACTAGTATGGCTGGAGAGCCCTGGAGCTGGGCAGGGCTGGGCCCCAGAAGCTGGGGGCTCCCAGGCCCTGATGCTTGAGCCCCTCTCTGGTGGCCACCAAACACTGCAGGGGGGCAGCCGCCCCCACCCTCCACCTGTAGCTGGCCCTGCCTTTCCTGATACTGACGCTCTGGCCTTTCCCCTCGCTCTGACCCCGTGCTTTGTTCTCCTTGGGGCTCACTGACACCCAGCTGCCCTCCAGAGCCCTCTGGGACCAGGTGGTCTTGTCTGCCTGCTATGTCTCCCTCCCCCACCTCTCCCCAGGGGAGAGGGAACTTCCTCTCGCACACTCCAGGGGCTCAACCTCAGGCTCCTTCACTCCACAAGCACACCCGGAGTCCCTGTGTGTCAGGCACTGTGCTAGGTGCAGACGGGCAGTGGTGAACAGGAAGGATTTGGTCCCTGCACTCAAGGAGCTCCAGCCGGGGTGTGTGTGTGAGTGTGTGTGTGTGTGTGTGTGTGTGTGTACACAGACCCTGACCCAATAAATAAGAAAATGTCAGGAGGTAAACAATTTAATACAGGGTGATTTGCCGGGGACTTTGGCTTGGGTGGTTAGGAAAGGCCTCTGAGTGGAGGTGACATTTCAGCAGGAACGGGAATGACAAGAAGCTCCAGCCGGGCTAAGTCCTTCGAAAAAGTATTTATGGCAAAGAGGGCAGCCGGGGCAAAAGCCAGGCCAAGCCCACTCAGAAAAGCCAACACAACCAGTCAGCTCTCTGAGCTCTCGCTCTGCAATCCCAGCACTGCAGACTCAGCAATATTGTCTAGCCTGCCCCAGGATGTGCCAGAACGATCTCTCAGCGCTCTGGGCAAGGGGTGACGCAGGCTTCCCGAGTATACTTCTACGAGCAGAGACACACAGCCCTTCACAGGGACTGCCTTGTCCCCCCTTGTGCTGCTGAGTTGGAGGGATTGGTGGTACCCAGCAACTATTCTGGGATCCCAGGGAGCTTCTAGGGGGAGAGGGTGACAGCATGCTCAGCCTCCCCATCATCCATCCTTGGGCTGGCTGGGACCCACGCTGCACCCAGGGCCCCAAGCTGCAGAGGCTGTGGTCAGAGCTTTCTGGAGAGAAGGGGGTGGGGAAAGAAGACAAAGCTCTACTTTTCTTGCTGCCCCAAGAATGCCTAACACTGGAAAAGGAGAGGCACTAGGAGTGAGTAATTTTAAGGGCATAGGGTTTGTTTTCACTTGCACTGTTTTTTTCCCCACCTATAAGAAGTAATATAAGCAGGGACGGGGAAGGAGAGAATGGGAATTAGCACTGAATGGGTATGGAGTTTTTACTTGGGAGAGTGAAAAAAATATGGTGGTGTTGATGGCTACACAGCATTGTGAATGGACTCAGAGCCGCTGAATTGGACACTTCGAATGGTTGAACTTTGCACTTAAAATTGTCATGATGGTTAAAAAAAAAAAGCAAAATATATTAAAACGGTAAATGTTCTGTCATGCATATTTTACCACAACTAAAAAAAAAGCAAAAACAAGCAACACATGCTACCCCCTCACTGCTCTAGCCTCAGCGCCTAGCACACAGTAGGCATACAAATCAGTAATTGCTGAATGAGTAAAAAAAAAAATCACCCTCAACTTGGCTCTCTTGGCTTGAGGCTCCCAACCTTTGGGGAAAAACCGCAAGAGCAGGCAGGCCTTGGCAGGAGCCCTCTGCTCATCCACAGGCTTCCAGACTCACCTGGGCCTTCTCTTGCCAGAGAGGAAGCGTCTCTTGCTGGTCCAGCATCTGGGCAATGACCAGGAGGCTGAGCTGGCTTCGAAGCTGCCTGTGAGGGAAGGAGCGAGAAGGATGAAGGGTGGGACCCTCTGCGAGTGAGTGGGCTGGAGGCGCACACGGAGGCCTCATGGGAGAGGCGTGCTGTCTGGAGGACTTTGCCCTGTTCTTCTGGTTTATAGTATTTATCATGTATTTTAGAAGCAATAAAACATGACAATAGAGTTGAAAAATAAGCAAAAGGGGAAAAAAATTAAAGTCACTGGTAATTGCAGAGGCTGGCTCAGCGGTGTTTTTCTTCTGAGTTGGTCTTTCTGAGTATCTATGCTTATCTGAGGATACACAGAGATAAGGAACATTAAACTGCTTTTGCAAGATCTTGGCCTTTTCTGTCCTTTGCAGCATTAGAATCTTTCAGCCCACGTAGGGTAGTGGAAAGTGGGGCTAAACTTTGTCTTTTTTTTTTTTTTTCCCCACCCGGCATCAACTTTCCTTTAGAGAAGCTGCTCAGCCAGGGTGGGCCCAGGAATCAGGCATGGCCCATCAGAGTCGGAGTGACTGCGCCACTTAGAGGTGCCCTGGTTGTAATTATCAGCAGAGCGTGTGCCTGTCCAGCAGGGCCAATGATCTGACAAGAGGCAATCCTACACCTGCTGGTGACCATCCTGCCTACCTGTGGGAGAGCCTGGAGGATGAAGCAAATAGAGACTGAGGACAGGGACAGAGCTCTGACAATACCTAGAGCCTAGAGCCTGCGGTGCCTGAAGCCCCCAGCCCCTGGACCATTCAGTAGGTCATTAGGCCATGTGGGCCAATAAAGTGCTTTTGGCTTCAGTCAGTTTGGGCTGGGCTTCTGAGTCTAGCACTAGCTTTTTTTTTTTTTTTAAAGATGTTATTTATTTATTTGACAGACAGAGATCACAAGTAGGCAGAAAGGCAGGCAGAGAGAGAGCGGGGTGGTGGGGGGAGCAGGCTCCCCGCTGAGCAGAGAGCCAGATGCGGGGCTCAATCCCAGGACCCTGGGATCATGATCTGAGCTGAAGGAAGGTGCCCCTAGCACTAGTCTTAACTGATTCGCTCATGGGGCTAGTATCTCTTCTCTTTGAGACTCAAGACCTCTGATGCGGATTTCAGATGCTCATGTTCAGGGCTCTGATTTCCATAGGTCCTTGAGGACTAGAGTGAGCAGAAAGAGAAAAGAGGAGGGGGGTGGAGAACAGAGGATGACACTGGGGTGGCAGTGATTGAGGAGGCTGGGTGATGGGAAGAGAGGTTGAGGGCCCCTCCTTTGCCCACGCTCCATGCCATAGCTTGTCTCTACCAAGAAGGTCATGTCTCTCTTGCACCTCCATACACTGGTTCCCCACGGACAGCAGACGTTAGCCCCTGGAATGGACCTTGATGTGGTCACAGTCCCTGGTTTCTGCATCAGAAATCAGAGCCACCATCATAAGAAGCAAAGGAGAGATCCCGAAGCCAGAGGAAACAGAAGGAACCTGAAGGAAGACACTTGGGCTGGAACCAGCTCCTGAGAGGGGAAATGCCCTCAGGTCACAGCGCTGTTGGGATGATGCCCGCAGCCGCTCTCCCCCGTGTTCCTGGAATGACGGCACAAGGAACTGAAAGACCGGACATCAGGAACAGCCTGCTACAGGCAGCACTGGGAAATGCTAAACAAGTACTTTGGGGAGGCAAGATCCAGTCTGGCCACTTCCAGGCTTGGTGTTCCAGTCTCCACGGCAACTTCCCCAGAGAAGGGCCTGCTGCTGCCCAGGCCTCACATGACGGAGGGAACTGGGGTAGGAATGGGGAACTGGGGTAGGAACTGGGGTAGGAAGGGCTCCTCGATGTCGCTGTGGGGCTGGACAGGCTAGTACCGCAACCAGAGGCCTTACTGATGTTCTCAGCACTTTGTCAAGAAAGTCAGAGGGATCAACAAAGCAACAGATGAAAAAGAGAAAAAAAAGCACCAGCAGGCAGTACCACCATACATCAGAAAGGAGAACATGAGAAAGGGGGCAATGCACTAGGGGTGGTGTGGGCCGCAGAGACGCTCACATCCAGCCGGTGGGAATTCGAACTATATATCCACTTCAAGAAACTGCTTGGCAAGATCAACAAAAGATGAACTTGTGCTCACCCCATGACCTAGCAATCCTCCTCCTTGGTACCTACGCATGCACGTGTGCGTGCGCGCGCGCGCACACACACACACACACACACACAGACGGAAGTGCACTTTAAATACACCGTTAGAAGGCATATCCTGGTTGGGCGCTATCGATATAATTCAATCCTCCTCGTAATGACAGGGAGCTAAAATGACACCCAAAGTCCCAGATGATCTTCACAGTGTCACGCCAAAGAAGCCTGATTCAAAAGAATACGTGCGCACGATTCAATTCCTATAAAGTACAAAAATGGCCAAAGAGCAGCTGTTGGCAGCCTGGGTAGTGCTGATGGCTGGGGGGACCAGCAGGTTCTGCTCCTGTTGCCTTTCTTGCTCTAAGTGCTGGTTTCACACGTGTTCCCCCTGTGGCCATCCACTGAGCCACGTGCCTATGATCTGGGTTCTGTGCTGCTTGTAGGCTGTAGTTCAATAAGACTATTACGCAGAGAAGAAACTCAGGTGGAGGGGGAGACAGGATTGCCAGATTTAGCCAGGAAACATATAGAATGCCCAGTTAAATGTGAATTTCTTATGGATAAACAAAGAGTCATTTTCTTACCATATGTCTGACCGCCCCCCCCAACCCCACAACCACACCCCATGCAATGTTTGTATTTTATCTGGCAACCCAGGGAGGGGCCAACCATCCCTGATCCATTCTTGATCAGGAAGACCTGACATTAACCAGCACGGGGCCCTCCAGGACCCTGTCTCCCTTTAGCCTTGACCCCTTTCTGCAGAGCACCTCAGCATCCCCACCTGACCTTCTGAGAGATGCCGAGAGACAGCCTCCCTTAGCGGCATGGCGTAGAAAACAGGAGTCCCTCATCATCCCCCACACCAGACCCCTGCGAGCGCAGCCAGACCATCGCCCCTCACGGGGAGCCCCACCTTCCCTTTTGTCCCTGAGCCCTGGCCACTCGGCACATGGGCACACCCCACATGGCTTCCATCTCATTGGCAGCCAGGACCTGCTCTCCAGCTGTTCCCCGGGAGCCCCAGCAGCAGCTGGCCCCAGAGCACAGTGGGAGGTAAATGGCCCCTCTGTGCTGTTGCTCCAAAGCTAACTTGTAGCCAGAGTCAGAAGTCCTGCATCTGGGCTTCGTTAATCCGAAACCCAGGCCTGTGTGGGAGCTCCTTTACCCTGCACAGGGTGGGGAGGGGCCAACCTGAGGGTGGGGGTGCTGGTAGGCCAGTGGAGCTGAGCTGGGGTGGTTCCAGAAGGGAAGAGGCAGGCTGGGTGGGTCGGGACAGGGCTGTAGTCCAGAAAAGAAGAAAAGCACCAGAAAAAGCACCGGGTGAATGGATGAAAAGGAACCCACATCTGAGGGTGGCATGCTCCCCCTCGCTGTCCCCGCCTGTCCACTGCCTTTCATTATGACAGCCCCCCCTGTCTTTAAAACACAGGCTCCTGCGCTCTCAGTTCGCACTGGGACACAGGGACTGGGGACAGGACTGCTTTTTAATTTTGAAGGGGACCTTACTCTATGGAGGAGAAAAACGCAAAGACTCACCCCAAATAACACTCAAACTGTGCAGGGGGCAAGCAAAAGGGTCCTGAGGGCCCAGCCGAGGTTGGCCAGGGGCTCTTCCTCTCCTAGAAGCTGCCTGACCCCACCCAGCAAGGCCTCCCCGGAACTCAAACCAGATGGACAAAGGAGGATGCAGAAGGGACTGGAGCCATCCCAGCCACTGTCATATAAGGAAACGAGCTCCAGCTCTGTAGGCTCACACCAGGCCAGGCCTCTGCTTTAGCCCTGCCACCCTCCCCACTTCTCCGCCCACCCCCCCCATGGGCCTCTGTAAGATCAGGACACTGGATTAGCGCTCAGAGGAGCCTAAGGCACTGCGAAACCTGAAAATGACTTTTCCAAATCCACAGCAAAGCTGGGAAGTGGAACACAGGCCCTCTGCTTCCCAGCCTCCAGCCTTCCCTCTAGCTCCTGCAAGGGGCAGCCCAGCCAGGCGCCGGGCACCGCATGAGAACTCAGAGGAGGGCAAAGGCACTAACTAACCAGTGTGGGCCGCTAGGGCTTTGGGACATCTACCGGTCAGCGCGGCCCCCTCTGGTGCCCCTTGCCTTCACTTGCTCAGAGGGGAACCAGGCCCTGCCAGAGCTGAACTACCCTAAAAGGCCATCAGGCATCTGGCCAAAGGCGTGAGCTGCCTTTTCCATGTCTCTAGGGCAGTTCAGGAAGCAACAACAGTGGCCTGTTCCGCTGTGGAAGGGCTGCCTAACACCCTGCCTCAGGCCATCTGCCCGAGTCCCTCGCTGCCTCTCAGGTGTCACGGCCCCCCATCATGACGCTGACTTCCACATCCCCCATGCCCCCAGTCCTTCACTTGGAGCCTACCCACACGTGAGCATATAGTGCCCAGGCAGGGAGAACCAGGGCCCCGGGCTCAGAGCTCAGAGCAGTCCCCTTGGGAGTCCGCCCCGTCATCCACACACATGTCGGGACCCTTTTAAGTGTGGGCATGCACAGTGCAGACAGGAAGACACATCCACAGATCCTTACAGGGGACCACCACATGGCAACGTGAAGGATCCGTCCAGAGCAGCTCACTTCTCCGTGGATGAAGCCACAAAGTGTTGCCGCTGTGCCGAGGAACCCAGACACGAGAGAGAACACTGCACACGGCTGCGCTTATGCCTGGGTTTAAAACCAGGCAAATGAAGCTATGGGATGGGAGTCAGGGACGGGGTTTTCGTTGGAGAGAGAATGCCTGCGATGGGCTCGAGGGAGTTTCTGGGGAGCAGGTGATGGTCTGCCCTAAGATACAGCAGTAGTTACACAGACGGTCCCCTTCACGGAGAGCACTAAGTAGCCCCCCCTGATGCGTCCTTTCCTGTAAGTATATTATACAGATAAAGAGGTTAC